AATCGCCGTGGCGTTACGGTTGGCAAGTGTACCTGGCAACCGTGGACTTGAGAGAAAGCGATGAGAAATTCACACACGAGCCCGGTGGGCAACGAGTTCCCGGGGAATCGAAGGCTGCCAATTAAAAAGGTGCTTAACAGAAAACCAGTGGACCAGCCCAGAGCCGACAAGCTGGCAGAGGCGAAATGATGTCAACAGTGCGAAAGCTTGCAATGCCCCCCCCCACACACCTCCTGTACCTCTTGTACGTGTTGCATCGCTTGCTGCTGCCCGACTCCTCTTCACCCCCTCCGCTCCGACTTCCGGCCATCGAAGGTTCCGGCTCGAGGCCTCGTGCCGATTCCCATCGCCAGTCTGCCCTACCGGCAGATGGACTCGCTCATTTTGCTCGTCTTCTCGGCGGCACGCTTTTGCCTGCCGGTCTTCTGGGCACGTACGAGGTACATAATGAAGAGGATATGGGGAAAATGGGAAGGAATGACATTTTGCTCTCTCCGACATGCGATAGCCTCGAACCCACCAACCCACCCACTCACCCACCCACACACACATACAAACACACCGGAATGTGGAGTGGAGGTGCACTTGGCGAGGGAAATTCAGTGTGAATTGCCAGAATGGCCAAAGGTGGAGGACAAAGTTGCTCAATTATCTCGCAATGCCTTCCAGAATGCTCGGTCAGCCCGGAAGCACTGCCATCTGCCGGTGGCACACGATCAGGCCACGCCTTTTGCCAGGCCTTCCAGACGACCATTTAGTGAACCGAACCCGCGTCTGGTGGATCCGCTGGCCATCGTGTCGATCAGAAGTGCAATTACTGCTAATGAATAGGGCAAGCAAGACTGGCCCATTGCACCGACTAACTGGGCCAATATTTGCAGTAAAAGCTTAACATAAGTGCCGATATACCAACTTGAACCACGAAAATACATATATCCATATTTATATATCGATGCATAAATACGCACAGCAAATATATATATATATATATAACTATATATACAAGTACTTATGGAAGGATATATAATTACACTCATGAATTTATGTGTGTATTTGGGCATAGTTATATAATTATATGCATGCATGTAGCACACATTCTTGTGCGTCGAGGATTCGTGGAAATGAGAGAAAGTGGAGAGTAACTTGACGCAGTTCAAGTGACCTGTTCGTTCCCATCCTTTATGCAATTGCGGGAAAAGTGAATTCCCAAGCTTTGCACCGAACCGCACGAGACGCTTGTGGTCGCCAAAATCGTGAAGCAGAATGTGCTGCTGGCTGAGGCTGGAATGCTGTTTCATTCGTGCCGGAGTGTGGGTTCGACCCTGCCCGAGGGCA